ACAGAAAATATAAATAATTTCAACCATTAAATTTTATGAATTTATTATTCAAAATAACATGTAAAATAATTTTTTTTTCAATATAAAAACAACGAAAAAGATATATATTAAGTATGGCTTCTAATTTTCATAAAAAATTAAAGATTTTAGAGAAGATGTTTAAAGTCTAGATTAAAATTATATAAAAGTGACTTTATTATTTTAAAAAGATATTTAAGTATTTAATAATAATTACTAAATTTAAATATATAAAAACCTTTATTTTTATAATTAAAATTACATTAGTAGCAAAAAATTATAATACCAACATAGGTAAAATATGAAAAAAATATATTTTAAAATTTACAAAAAATTAATAATGTTATCAAATATATATAATAATGGGTTTATATTTTTAAATTAAGTCTTTATAAATAAAATATTATAAAATACTGAAAGTTATTGGACAAAGAATTCAATAAAATATAAAATTTTTTATTTTTCTCCTTTATTTTACATTTAAAAGATATTAATTTTTTATCACCTTATGGCAAAGCATTTAACCAATGAAGAAAAAATACAAATAATTGCTTTATACGAAGCCAGGATTGATAAACTTGAAATATCAAAAAACTTTAATATCAATAATTCAATATTATTTAGAATGATAATAAAATCATAAATGTGGTTGTCGTGCCCACACGGCTAGTGGTTTTAAAAAGTTTAAAATGTTTGGTAATAAATTCATTTTTCATTTTCATATCCCTTTTTATGATATTTTATTTATGTACTTAAAAAGGAGAATTAAAAATATTTGTTTTAAGGGCATTTAAAATATTTGGTGTTAATTATAAGCAACTTCGGTTACGACAGTGTTAATTTTGATAAAAAAATGGTTTTGGAAGAAATGTATATCAAATGATAAAGCAGTAAATTATTTAAAATTAAAATTAAATCAAAATCTAAAAATTGGATCTAATAAATTGAAAGAGTAATTATATAAAAATTTAAAATTTAAATTTTTTACAAGAACTATTTGAAGAAAGTTACAGTATTGATCAAAAAAGTGATCACCTAAAAAAAGAGTTAATAAACAATATTAAGTATTTTAGATAGCAAAACACATTTTTTTAAAAAAAACTTAAGTGGCAAAGAATAAATAAAAATTATACTTTTACAGATAGTTTATAAATAAATATAAAATAAAATTGTTTAAAGAAAAAATGACCACCTTTCATTTTCAATCCAAAATTGACATAAAAACGATGTTTTTGTAATAATTCATGGATAGAAAATTCAATTTTGAAACTAAAATGTTGATTTAAGATGATTTAAAAAATGATTGAGCTAAAGGGTTGTTGCAGAAAAAAGAAAAGTTTCTAAAACTACTGTTTATAATATTAATAAGAAGTTATTGGAAAACTTATTAATTAATAGAAAATTTGAATTTGGGTATAAAGAACTTTTAAATGATACAATGAAAAATGTAATTTATTTAATTTATGACACGGATTATAAAAAAGTATTTTGAATATAAAGAGTAAATTTGAAAAAGGTTTTATGGGCATTCTTTTGATTGGCGCCCCAAAAATCGATTGGCGCCCCATAATTTTGTATTAAGGGTGAAAAAATTTTTATGAAATTTATTTAAAATTTTATATATAGAAAATTTTAAATAAATTCATCAAAAATTTTTTCACCCT